TTTCTTTTCCAGCATTTTACAAGTATAAAAAGACGATCCTTATTGAACGTTAAACAATTAAGGCTGTTCTCAAACGCACCAAGCAGATGTAAAGAAAATAGTTGGTATCTTTGCCTGTAAAATGAAATAACAATCAGCATCCACCATGGAGCGGTAGCCTACAAAAAATTTTAAAAGCTACAATCGGACAGTATTAGAAAAGGTTTATATTGCACTGCCAATCAGGATATAATTGCAAAGGATTTTACTACTCTACCGCAAATACATGTAGTGTATTTCAAAAAGAAATAGTATACCATATTTCCATGAAATTATCTACCTGTATCAGCGTTTTGCTTCCACTCCACTGCAAAACAATAATATTTATTGATGCGAACCAAAGATGGATGATGCAAAAATACACAGTCACATATTATTAACTGCGGTTTAGGTTAACCTGGCAGTGGAAAACAACAGCGCCGACTAAAGCATAAGCGTAATTCGCGTATCTCTGAGGCATGGTGTTAATGCCGTCTGCTGTGAACCACTAGATTTTGATTTCCAGCGCAGCTCAGGCTATCTCTACCTGATGAGTCCAAACCAGGAGGAAACTGCGCCCATGGGGTACCAGTGTTTGAGTGAGCAACATCGAAATATTTTCATGAAGACAGTAATTATTGTTTGTAATGCGGTGGAATAAGGTCGACTCAATTTGGCAAGCTGTGCAACTTGTTTGCTAAAATATGTTTATCACATCATATCTGTCAGCATCCTATTCTGGATTAGCCTGAAGATCAGTATATAATGACAATCTATTTAGCACCACACACTCTAAAGTTGTTTTGTCGGCTTATGGTTAAAAAATAGCAGTTGAGCAAATCTGAACCTCAATTTACGGTTACATCTTCTATGCATAGAGTGAGGTATTACAGGACGTATAAAATAATCATGGTGTTAGTATAAGTGATTTAGGTTTCAACCATTAATTTTTAACCCTTTTTAACGAAAGGCCATCCGTCTCTTCTAGGAGTATGTAATTCATTTCACATCGCTATTTTTCGTGTTCAGTAAACATAGAAAATAAATTATTACACAAATTATTTTTAGATTAAGCCGTCGTATTGCAACGTTTTTACAAACAAATAAAAATAGTAAAATACTTATCGAAACGCATATTTTTCTTAATATCTCTAGGAATTCCATCACTTTCGCTAATTGTTGCTGGGTTCAAATGTATAAAATTTATGCGATGCTTTACAATTTTTAGTCGGTATCACATCATCGTGTAAGCAAGTTTACAGTTGTTAATGCTCAATAGTTCGTCCAAAATGTGAATAATGCTTATGACCAAAATTTTGTTCCGAATAATTTTAAAAATTTTGTTTACTCCGAAAACAATAAGGAAAAAGCACCGCGTTATATCGGTAACAGATGTGTATCAAATTTATAAGCAATCAACACATTTCTTCTGCACAAATAACTCGTAAACTAATTAAACCCTACATTTTGGTTGATGCTCTACATTTTTGTGTGCTCTATGCTGGAATGTTGTAATAGTAGCCGGTTCTTATTTCCTCATTTCTATGCACAACATGATCGAAATTACGGTTTGATGCGATGTGAAAATACCTGTGGCGATGCCTTTTCTCTTAGCATACCTATTCATTTTTGAAAATGTCTTCCATGTGCTACTTCTTATTTCATTGTCACTTAGCATTCCATACTTCTTCCTTGTCATTTTCAATGAGAATCTTCTTAAGCTACAACACTTTGGTACCGTGTAATACTCTTACATGCATGTTTATTCTTGTGAATAAACGATAGTACAAGCGTTAGCACATTGCCGATGATTGAAAATTGGCGGGCGTTTGGCAACAAATAAGACCACGATTGCTTCCAATGTAATTGTATTTGTGTTCAAAATTGCTCAACGGGAAACCCACTCCATGTTAACAGCGCGAATTTCAAATTGCTTTCTTGTTAGAGCGCTTGCTGACTTTGAAATCTCTTAGCTTCATTTATAAAATGTACTTTTAAATTTGTTTTTATTGACAGGTTTTTGGAGTCTGAATATAATGGAGATGAAAGATGAAACCCGGAAAGCAAATTGAGCATCTTTCGGTTGAACTTGCACACATACGTTCCAACTATGATTACTCTTACCCGACTCATGGTAACTTTGTGGTACCTTATGGATTCACGCCATGTTCGCTTTTATTCATGTTCTACCACGCGTTGTGTGAAATGTGCTTGATTGTGTGTGTTAGCCGTTGCCATTACGAACATCTGCATCTGCTGATCACTCTCAGGTTTTCGTTCATTATTGTGCCCATTTTAGATCTTTATAACATCAACCGAAATTGATTTATACTAATAGGAGCATAAAACTGGTAGCATGCAGCCGACAGCAGGAACTCGGTATTAGTCCACGACGATCTCAGTGCATCAAACAATCCAAAGTGAAATCCCATATATTGCATTTAACATGTTGGACGTTTGTACACATAGTGTGGTTGATTATACCCTTAATTCCTTCCACAAATGCTTAACAAACACCTGCGATTAAACAAGATTTATTCCATCCAGTCTTAGCCAAAACAACGTCTTCACAAGTTTAGTAAGCTTTTGATTGTCCCACAATAGGCAAATAAACTTAGAGTAATTCCATCTACTGTTTTCAGATAAGTAACTTGAAAATCCCCATGTAAGTTAAGAAGAAGAAGGAGTCCGTTTGGTGAACAATTGCTTTCAATGATTCCTCATCAGATAAGTTCAATATTTAGGGCTAAAAAAGCAATGCTTAAAATCAACCCGTTAGTAAATGTGACAGACTAAAAATCGAAACGAGTTAATTAAATGTTGCGGAGTTTGATGGCTTGCTGTTGACAAATTATCCCCGTTTTTGCTGGCTAAGGAAGATGTAGAGCCTGGACTAGCTTCTTTTGCGAGCATAAGAACGGTGGAAATAATCGAATGAAAAATTGCTTCGGCCGTTGAAAGTGCTCGAATGCTCTGAACTTTCGATCAGTGCAGTGGAACCTTTAGATCCACCCGATACTCAATGTCAACAAAATGAGCCAGAACGGAACTTCTAACGGCCCCAGTGTCACCTAAATTCAACCAACGTGGGTAATGTTCATTCGCGCTTTCGGACTATTGCCGCGCCGTTCGACCGATATACATTGCGCTACGGGCACCATAGGTCAGCATAAGCAACCTAAGATTTTTCGTGAACGGACGAGTGGTTCCGTCGAAAATAAGCGCTTTAGCGTAGCTGCTGCGAAGGGCGACTTAATTGCGCTTGAAAGACCAAGTTAAGCGCTCAGTAATTCCCCCCCCTTTGGAATATAATCTTACGAATTGCTCTTTCTTGGACGCTGTTGACACTGGCATCTATTTAGGATGATCTCCATGGTTGATCGAAATAAATGTGTCGGGTATCCATTTTTGCGCAAATTATTATGTGTGAAAACCAATTCCGCATTTATAGTGTGTTCCGAGCAAATTTGACTTGCTGTCTTGATAAGACAGTAAATCAAGTTGCGCTTATATCTCAGAGGGATGCAAATGTGGAAATTCGGATACTGGCCAAGGGACGTTGGTTTCTGTAGATCTGCCACTGGATTGAGCCGTTTGGTCTCCCATTTAACAGAACATCAAGATGGAAGCCGATTTTCGGTTTCGTTTGCTTAATAAGAACAGTGTTGCATGAGCTCGTTTAAAACTGTTACGAATTTCATCTAGATTGATGTGCTCCTTCATCATGACGAATACATTGTCCAAGTACACATAGTAGTGGTTGAAATTGAATAAATCCACCTGCAATTCAGTTCTCTACAACTTTGCCGCGGAGATATTCCATAGCAATAGACCCACGGGATATCCCATGCCCACGTCCTCCTTCTGTCAGTAGTATTTGCCGTTAAATTGGAACTGTACATTTCAAGTTCAAAGCAATGGCAGGTTTTTTATTTCTGACCGGGTTATATGATCGCAAATGTAATCTATTGTCTCAATCAGCGGGACGTTGGTAAAAAGTGAGACAACATCAAAAGAGCACTACTTTCTCGTCAATATTAGCATCATTGATGTTTTCTGTCAGATAAGACGGAATTGCCCATAGCTTTAACAATAGCTGTCACGTTGCATATTAGTGGAGCTTCAAAAGTCTCCCAAAATCTAAAGATGGCAAAGGAGTTTACCAGACAACTGATTTCTATGCAAGGCGCCGTTTGCATATTATCATATAACGCGTTAACAAGAAGGCTACGAAAATTATGAGAACCTATGTTCCAAAACCTTTATCCAGATGTAACTGCAACGATTAGTATGAACGCCACAGAGTGAGTTTACATGTCTTCACGCCTTATTACTCTCACACTTTCATTTATATTGCTTCTATAACCTGAACAACTTACGAGACGAGTAAAGAACACTCTTCATTATCTATCATGGTGACTTGCATTAATGCTCTGTTGTTCCAGTACAACCTAGATGAGTCACTATCAATGTGAACAATTTTAAATGATCCGCAAATAAAAATGAAACCGAAATTTCTGTGTTTATGCATTAAGACAAAGAGGTACCCAGCTTTGTAAGCTAAAAATTTATCACATGTTTGCACAAACAAAATGAAGCATCACTGCACCGAGATTAAACTTGTTTTCCGAAAAACGCGGTATTAAAAGTTGCCAAAATTAGTTTTATCAATGAGATTAGTAAACTAGTGGTGTTTCCACAATATATTCGTATGGATAAAAATGGTTTTTAAAATTCCCTGTATACCTAAAGATTAGACACGTAAGAAGCCATGAAATACAATGTTACTGAATGACAGCTTACGTGAAATGGTGCTCATGTCTGAATAGAAGGTACAGAATAATAATAGGGACATCTCTATTGTTTTGAAACTTTTTGATTACTAATGTATACACGGGATGGTAAAGGGACATACGTATGTTCTTTATGTGCACTACAAAAGTGAGAAAGATAGGCGGTTACGAAGAAAACCTCGTCTTGCTTTACATTATAAACAGACGATAAACATTTAAAAAAATTAGCAAAACAACATTCAGACACAAGCATGTGCCGATACCGTCATAAACGTCGTCTAAAAGAAGAGAGAAGTAAAAGGAAACATTGCGCAAATTGTATGGGCAAGCAGTTGTGTAATCCATCAAGATTTAAAAAATACTGGCGTTTGACATCGCACACTTAGATTTCTTGAGGTAAGAATATTTTAGCTATAGACTAAATTAGACAAGCTCACCGTGGTTGATTGCTGGAACTGCAAAAAGAAATGTAGTTAACGGGATATGATTTATGTATACTGTTTTTGAAGCTTATCCAAGTATAATGATAAAAGTTTCAGCAAAATCTCAATCAGGAAAAACGCCGTATGAAATTAAATCAAAAGTAATATTTCATTATACTTTCAGATTCGGCGTTGAAATCAGTACATCTTAAGCCAAGGCTGTTAGAGAATAATGTTAAGAGAACCAGGATAATCGATTGTAGACCAATTTCCGACGTTTTTGATTGTAAAATTATTGTTTAATTTAGCAGATGGTATGCAGGGTCGTGAAGTTCTGGCAACAGATAGCTTTACCAAAATAAACAACATGCGATAGCATATACGACAGTGTTAAATCGATAGAATATAATGCAAATTGGATATATTGGTCAAACTTTATATCACGCAACGAAAATGGAGAAGGTGCGGTGCAAATTTATCAAATCCAAAAGCTTAACGGTACATTCAGTCATGCTGATTTTTATCAGCAATTTTATCTTATCTTTTATCGTATATTTAGTAAAGCCGTTGTGTCCCTGCAAATATAGATATTAAATTTGGCTCAAGCTTTTGCTTGTATTGATGTAGAGGATTATTTGAAATTTGCTCAAATGTAATTAATCTAGGTACTTCGCATCCAGCTTCCAAACCAGATATTCTTCCACATGCCCGGAAAAGTACTAGCCTGCAGTGTCAGCCTGATGGGCATCGTCAGTAGTGCGCATCCATTGGATCCAACAAGATTAAAAACCTATGACCACCGGCGGCTTGAAACACCAGTAAGCAGATTATGCCACTGGTCCTCGGGGACAGATTCGGGCCGTCATGATATCAAAAGCCCCTACTCATAAGTAAGTCAAAATATATCCGGTATGTCGCTGCTTGGAACCGATAGAACCGGAAGGGGTGGCGGTGTGATTCCTTACTATAATACAAACCTCCTATGTGAAGTTATCGATCACCCGGAAATCCAAGCTCCTGATTCGCTTTGGTGCCGCCTATGGTAGCGAAACAAGGACACATGTCTACTAGCCGTGATTTAGCGCCCACCAAACTCAACGTCGGAAATGGACTCCAAACTGAACCACGCTTTTCAGTTTGCTTTGAACAAGTCCTACACCCACATTCTTATCGCGGGAGACTTTAACGTGCACGACATAGAAACGCCGGAAACCGACGGTAGGCAGTTTAAAGCCTACTTGCAAGAGCTTATTGCTAGCCACCCTCTTTACAACCACGTAACCTCTCCCACCAGATTTCGAACTGCTAACAAGCCGTCGAGACTGGATCTGGTGCTAAATAACGAAGAACTCCTAGTTGACGGGATAGTCAACCCTGGGTCGTAGTGATCATGTTACTCTACTCTTTGACTATATATGCTATGCGGAGTACCCTGAAAAGAAGGAGGATAAAGTGCGTACTGTCACGCACTACGTGTTATCTGAGCTCGTTAAGGATATATCTTGGACTTTCTTAACCGAATGCCCCGCAGAATTTGCCTGGGAAACCTTTACAAGGACGTTTAGCACATTGGTTGCACACGCATCGGAACAGAAGTCCTTCCAACCCAAAAACAAGCGTAAGTCATTTCTGAGGAGCAGAACACGTAAAAGTATGTCCCGGAGGAATTTCGCATGGCGAGATCACCAGGACTGCTCGAATGCCGAAACGTGGACTGTATACGTGACACATCGTAACTTCTGTGTGAAACTGGTCCGCGAAGACAAGTTCACTCATCAGCAGAGGTTAATGAAGCTATTCTGCACTAACCGCAAACTCCTATACAGGCAAGTTAACGGCTTTCGAAAGGTGAAGCGGGGGGTTCCAGCGCTAGTCACGGCTGATGGGTGTACGCGATCAGCAATGTAAGCAGCTGATCTCCTACGGCTTCATTACTCCCAAACTTACCAGCAGGTAACGTGACCAAACATTCTGCTCATTTCTAATACTCCACCATCTGGTTTGGAAAATATCAGTTTCACTGCAGAAGCTGTGTTGAAGAAGTTGTTATCATTGCGTATCCACAGTTCTCCCGGAGCCTTCAACATCCGACCAAAGGCTCCACAGGCGGTAGCTAGTGATCTAGCAGGACCATTTGCTGTTTTCTATCAGCGACTTCTAGAAGAGAACCGTATTCCACCAGTATGGAAGCGTGGGGTCATCACTCCTATCCATAAAGCAGGTAGCCGCACTGATCCTGCCAACTACCGTCCAATAACACTACTTCCAGTACTATCCAAATTGATGGAATCAATCATCGCAGATGTGCTGATGCAGTATCTGGAAAGCCACAAATTAATACCTCCAGAGCAACATGGCTTTCGTCAAAGGCATTCGTGTAATACTAACCTATTATTTGCACGTAATAGCTGGACTGAAGCTGTTGATGATTGAGTTGGAGTCGATGTCATCTACCTGGACTTTTAAAAGCACTTGATCGCTTAGACCATTGCATTCTGCTTCAGACGATTCGGAATTACGGCATTGGAGGCCCAATTCTGAGTTGGATTAGCAATTTTCTACAAGAACGACAGCTAGTGGTGAGAGTCCGAGAATCATTGTCTGATGCAATCGATGTGGCGTGTGGAGTACCACAAGGCTCGGTTCTTGGACCTCGTCTATTCTTGGTGTTCATTAACGATTTGGCGAGAGCAATTACTTACGATTTCCTATTTTTCGCTGATGATATCAAGATATGGCGAAGGATCAGAGGACCGGAAGACCACGAACGGCTCCAGTGCGATCTTAACACAGTGTCGAACTGGTCAGTTCAAAACGCCTTACCATTCAACGTAGACATATGTCGAGTTGTACAATTACGCCATAGACATAACTACACCTATTCACTTGGGACCAACGGACTGCAGTATAACTCCCAGGAACGTGACCTTGGTGTGATCGTACAAAGCGACTTCAACTGTTCAAAACAGGTTGAGGTAGCTGCAAAAAGATGCAACCAGCACGTCGGCATGCTGCAAAGGGCGTTCGGGAGATTTGACCCATCAATCTTCCCAATGATGCACAGTTCCTACGTACGCCCGCATGTTGAATACGCTGTCTACATTTGGCAACCTTGGTTGAAGCGCGACCTAGAAGCGATAGAGGCACCTCGACGAACAGCAACAAAGAATGTAAAGGGCCTGCACTATCACTCATACCACCGGAGGCTGAAGTTGCTGGGAATTTTCAGCGGACGCTATCGAAGGCTGCGCGGTAATCTCATATTAGCTTATCAGATACTGAGTGACCCCAACCACGTATGCCGCCATTTGCTGAAACTTAGCCACAACATGCAGCTCAGGGGTAACTGCTTAAATTGAAGGAACAATATAGCCGTCTAGAGTGTCGACGGAATTACTTTTCCCTTCGGGTTTGCCAACCCAGAAACGCACTCCCAGACTCAGTTGTATCCTCTCCTACCTTAAAGGTTTTCAAAAAAACGATTAGATGTTGCTCTTAGCTCCCAACATTTTGTTATCTAAACTCCTCTATTGTGGATTACGCCAAGCAAGCTTTTCAACAGGATTTATGTATCAAACGGACCTAAGTGAGCGACCATATTTGAATTTTCTCACACCTTACCTCAACGATCACTGCACCCCAGTGTCTTTCTGAACTTTTACGCTCGATAATTTTTTTTAATTTTACACTGATGTTAATTATCAAACTATTCATCCTGGCAAACGTTCGGTAGATGACCCGGACATATTTTGATTTCATCATATTTACCGCAACCATCCAACGGGACGTGTCACGCACTTGCTTTTATCCCGTGAAAAATCATTGTTCCTTGTTCATTGTTCATTGTTTTAAATGCTATGTCGTACATAGCTACTGTTAGTGGACTTCCTGTCTTTCGGGATCAGCCCTGCCCTCTGCAACGTTCGTAACTTGCATGGCAGTAGAGGATAAGATGCGCTATATCACAGCCTGTAAATCATAACCGTCTGGAGCTGTCCACCGTTGCCCAGTGGCATAAGCTGCTGATTGGCGGTTCAAGCCGTTGCTGGTCATGGGTTCGAATCCTGTTGGATCTGATGGATGCGCACTACTGATGACGCCCAATAGGCTAAAACTGTAGTCTAGAACTTTTCCGAGCATGTGGAAGATTATCTGATTTGGAAGCTGCCTGCGGAGCACCTCAAGTAATGCTATCAAAATCCCCTACTCATGAGTACATCACATTTAATTGTTCAAAATGGTTATGCCTAACTAGATTGCTTATGATTTCTGAGCACAGCAGATAAATATTTCACCATAGCTCGAATTATGCAGGTCGGGTCATAAGCCCAATACTAGTAGCTGTTAATCTCTTAATTTTGATTCTTTAGAGATTAGTTACTATGGGGTAAAAAGCGTCAACTTTGATCAAATTTGGACGTAATTTCGAGTCACAAGTAAGCAAGCTCAAGAAAACCAAATCTGCCAAAAGTGATGTAGCTAAACAAGTAGATGCTACAAATCGTCCAAGAATGTGGACACGAGATATGTGATGACTGTTACTGACAAACATCTAGAAAACCAAACAATATTTCGCACCTGTGCATCGGTTTACATCAGAGAATCCTAGTTAACAAGTGCACCTTATACCCCAAGAAGCATCTAATAGTTGAAGCTGACTTCGCGAATTCTAATAACCATCGTTTGAATTTATAAGAAGCTGATGTCACTATTAACTTTAGGTTCCACCAAAATCTAGCACAATAATTCTAACTATCGTTCTTATCGTAACTGCAACAGACGATGCGTATAGTGTTGGTTGTATTCATTGTACTTATACAAAACCTATCAGCTCTCGACATACGTTTGCCATAGACAGAAATTAATCGCGAAATACTATGGCAAAATATATATATATATTAGTTGATATGATCTGGAAAAATGAACATATAGAAATTGATACTCACTGATAGCGATCTCACTTGTATTTGCGACTAAATTTTAATGTAGAAGCAATTTACTTGGCATAGCCTCGTGTCACATGACGGATCACCTTGCCTTTTTGCTGTCAGTAAAAATTGCAACTGGTTTAAGCGGAAGTGAAGGTAAGTGTGGTTACAGAGATATCCTTGCAGAAAAACGTTTTATTAAACGTATCCTTCCCTAGGATTTACAGAGAATTAACGTAAGGTTTCAGTTAATAAAGAAAATATTTGTACCACATGCATTGACTGAATTGACTGTCGCAACATCTTGAGCGCCCGTTTTTTATGCCTGTGGCCGTCCCAGTGAGAAAACTTGGTAAACTTCTGGTCAATCGGAAAACTGTTTTAAAATGCAGCCATAACATAAAAATTTAAAGCTGTTATGTTCTTTGCAAATACGGAAATGAGTAAGCGAAATTCAAGCTCCAAGTTGTAATTATGTAATATTGAAGCTATAAGGCTATATCAATATTTTGACTGGCCGCAACCCGTTCCAAGCGCCTCACTTGGACGGGATTTTGTACAATAGCAATCACATATTATCAATCCATCAGTCCTCAGCGCTGAAATAAAGTACCATGCCAATAAAAAATAAAAATTTATAGGGAAGTTCCAACGGTGAAATGAAGCGTTCTAATTTTAACAGCGTAACGGCACCTATAACATGATATATTTTGGGTTAACTTTTGTTGCATAGAAACACTAAAGACTATCGCGACAACCGTTTACTTATCTACGCGGACAGGGAACTGCATCCATGTGAGCAACAACAGTTAGGAAATATTTGAATGATTAATGGCGCTTAGAACAATTGACGCGGATGCAAAACACGTATTACTTTCACTCCCACTTTAATCATACAGACTGTATATGTAATTCTTGGTTAAATGACTGCCACCGAAAATAGAGAAACCAGCAATTATGGCTAGTTATGAACTGCTAACTATCAATGAAATAAATAATGCACACTCAATACCCGACAAATATTTCATTATTCTCAATAAGTACTTTCTGCTAAAATGCTAGCATTCAGTAACCCCAGAAGCCAAATTGAAAATTTAACCATCGGTTATATTAAAAAGCCTATTTACCATGGAATCGGACACCGTTAAAATCAAAACCTGCTAATACATATTTTCCAACGATGAAATATGAGTGCTATCTCTTCGATCTTTCACTGTTTATTTTATATATGTATATATATATATATAGCGGCTTCATTTAGTTCATTTATCCTTAACTTACCCAGTTTTATTGTTTTTTCTGTCCGAAATAAAATCATTGTTAAGACCTTAAACATTCATCTGTCAAGTATAGACTAGTAATACAACCTATTGAATTGTTAAAATTTTATGCTTACCTCGAAACTGGAATATTGGCTTTCTTAGGCTCTTTGACCCTGTAAAAATCATGCAATATGCCATTTTGCTTCATTATATCTCTCTGCTAACAAATCATTTTTGATTTTGTGAGTGTGGTTTCGTGCGTTGTTTTTTAACTTATTTCTTGTTCAACGGTTGTCGTTTTTACTTTTGTTAGGCTTGAGTGATAATGTTATCATTTTTCTCGTATGTCTCAAAGAATTCAAAAGGCTGTTACACAATTTAATCCATTTATAAGCGACTAACTTCGTGTTAAATATTTTCAATATTGTAGTTCCATACATACCCGAATGCATATTTTTCTCGGTATCACAACCATTAGTCCAGAATAACGCAAGGCCTAAATTTACGTGCAAATTCGTATTACATATGTTTTCTTAAACCTATGCTTTGTGTTAATGGATAGATTACTGGTTGCATTTACTTACTGTTTTCTACCGGCTAAGTATATCTGCATGTTTTAAGAAATGTCTCACAAATTTTCGTCAACTCATCCGATATGTGACAAGGAATTTCAATGTGCATTCAGTGCTTCTGTCGATAAGACACGTGGTCGTCAAACACTTTTCTACTGGGTGTAATATATGCAGACTAAATAAGAAAAAATCGTAGTTTGGTATATTAGCGACAATTCCTTAACCCGTAGCAAAACATATCAATGTATTGAAAGTCTTTAATAGTTTTTTATAATACATCTGATTGGTTGAAGGATTGGGCATTTGCTTGATGCACATTAATGTTAACCTGTTGTAATTTTACGAATAGAATTTTGCGCCATAACTTATGAAACTTATAAAGAATCGTTACTTGAATCCGCTAGTTTTGTCATTTATGTTTAGCTTTAATTGATTTTGTTGAACGAAAACTTCAAACTTGTTAGCGCAGCAATCGGCTATCAAAGTAACAAAGCATTTTCTTATAGATTCCAGCATAAGAGTTGGGAATTTGTTGACCTATGTTTTTTATCTGCAATAATATTATAACACTTAAAAAAATCTTGAGCTATGTGAATATCTTATTTTCACAGATGTCCACCACAGACGAATTATCGAGAAATTTATTCATAGTTATAGAGGTATGATAGTGGTTCAACGAATGAAGCTGTTTTAATCAGTTTTTAGGATGTACCTTTTCTATAGCTTGCATCCTGTGTTGTCTTTGAAAACTGTGGATAATTTTGTCCAAAATTATATAAATAGATGTGATTTGTACAAAGTGGTATAGAGTATAGCGAATTGTGCGCATATTTCGATGTATTTCAACACACTTTAACTAACCATTCCGTTGCAACTGCCAAACTGTAACAACAATGTAGCATCCTGTAGCATCTTTACACAGTGAACATTGTAGCTTGCATGTTTGGACTACAAAACTGTGTACCTTTGAGGATGTGTGAATTTACCTTCGATCATATGCGTGTCGTTGTACTCAACTAAATTAATAAAATGGAAAATGAATTTTATTTATTATCTCTTCAGGATGAAATGTAAAGCTTTAGAACAGTATATTGAATACAACTACTTTTGTAGAAAACTTTGTCTGTCAATAAACATCGACCGTTGAATGATATAATATTTTACACGTACCGTTTATTTTTTCATGTGCAGTAACGTCATGATACCTGCCTAAAAAAGAAGAAAAACTAACCATAGCCTATGGAACTTGTTTCCGTTTAGAAGACTATTCATGTACAAAATAATTGTAACTGTTTCGAGATTTTTGACAGCATTTGCAAATGATATTTGATGTGACAATAACTATTTTCAGTCAGTTATCCTTTACATAGGCAAACTGGCTGAGTATTTAAGAAAAATGAGTATAGTTTCGGGCAGTGCCCAAATGCTTATACAAATACGACGTATATGGCAAAATCTTGAATAAATACGCATGTGCTTTACAACGCGTCTAAGCTACGGTGCAACTGTTTTCTATCCAGCAAATTCATGTGAAAACATAAACGTACCCATGGTATCAATTATTGCTACTAAAAGTATGCAAGATTTGAGGGATTGTTGTGTGCAAGTCATACAGTTATATTATAGTATATTACTTATTTGTGACCCTAACCTGGAGGAGCCTTATGTTTTCATCAGTTTAACATACCTTCTGAAGTTTTCAAGTAAAGTAATTAATTTGCACTACCATAGGCACAAAATGTGGGAACAATTTCAACTTCCTGACTATGAAGACAAGAATAGTTTGGGAAGCGTACACTACTTGTTCATAGCTATTTCAAACACTCACCATTTGCTCCTCGAAGGTTGCAAAACTGGTAGACTTATACAAGTTGCGTACTTTAAGCTTATACCAGGATCTGCATTTCATTTGTGCAGAGCAATTTTAGGTTTAATAATGCGTGCGTCACCGAGCCGTAAATTTCGATTTTCATAGCGTGATAACGAGTATTCGAAAATAGAATGGCGGCCAAATCTATGGCTTCCCCTTCAGGCCGCTGTGTGAAGCAGGACGTATTTGGCAGCGGGCATGATAGCGACCTCCGCTGCCGACCTGTGTATTCTTGTGAATGAACAACTATTAAGTGAACCACACTTAAGCATTCGTTGTACGAGGGAACAGAGTTGAAGTGTGGCAAAATTGAAAAAAAACGCGAAAAGAATTGGTTTTAGCTATCATTGTGTTATAAGGTAATTTATTATAAAGTATATGTAACATTCGACTATTTTACTAGAAATAAAAGCGTGCACCTAAGTTTTCCAAGGAACACACCGGATTTCGCGGTAGTATATAAGAAAGTTTGTTGGCATATCACAATCCTTCGATCGACCCATACATACTAGTTTGAAGTAATTAATCCATAGACGTATATATGCGTGACACAGAAACAGCGGGTTTATGCATGCGTACTAGACTAAGAAGTCAATATCAGGTTTAGCTATAACGGAGCAGAGCGCAGTGTTATGAGCGATGACAGGCTGAAGCGTTGTAACTTCCAAGTTTCAGATATCTTTTACGTGAATTTCACGTGCTTTTCAAACGTTCTCAGAGTAGTTCAGCTACAGACCGCGTTATTTTCAAAAACATGGAATGGACGTTGAAAAGATCTATGTTTCACACTTGCTTTCTTTACGCAGCAGCCAGTTCAACTAGCATGAACATACATTTTGTTCCACCGCGAGTACCATGCGCTGAAACTAAAGCATAGACGTTTAGTTAAGATTGCGTTTAGCTAAAGATAACTACCAAGATTAATGAGAATAAATTAGGCCATATTTCACATTCAGTCTAAGAGGCAAAAATCTCTCGATATCAGAACAAGTGAATGTCAACGACACTGGTATTTCATAGATGTACTTACGAATAATCTCTTTTTTCTCTAGATCGATTAAATAGATAAAACGCCGTAATAATTAAAAAGAAAATTGCCTATTTTTGCCACCAGTAATGTTTACCTAATTTATTCTGAGGTATTCAGTGTGACAAGTTGCACCTTGGTGATTGGTTTATGTTATTTCATTTAATTAAATCGTCGCAACAATATTTAAAGCTTTGGATATCGAAATATCAACGTTAAGATTGTAAGGACCATTCGGTCACTTCCTTCGGATAGAGGCGAATTTACACTAAAATCTGCGCTCAAATTTCGTACACTTGGTCATTCGAATGTTATTTGTGTTGTTCTTATATTTTTTATAAACAATTTTAATAGACATTTATAGAAATGCATACTTATTGAACGTACGTGGTGAGCCACTAACTGTATTTTTGATGTGGAAAGTAAACATGTGTTATAGTTAAACTTTCTTAAAGCAGGTGCGAAATCAGAAGTAGCTTAGCTTCCAACAAGCAATGTAACTCACTCCTGTAATCATATGTTTGACCTAATTTGGCTAATGAAATAGAGACTAAGTGTTAGTGTAAATTATCTAATAAAATGTGGTATGCAACCGTAAAAATGAAAATGCCACTAACCTCAGAAGCTTATACAAGACGGTTACATTTACACATTATAAACATGTTAAAGCATGTGATTGGAGAGCATTTAGTGGAGGAAATATAGCACTTACGTTCGCGCACCAAGAAGGTTAATTTATCTAATTGCATTTGAAGGCAATGTCCGAAATATTTAAACATTTAGAAATTACAGCATCATTATTGTGAAGAAATTAGACGCCGCTATATATGTGTGCACAAAAGTGCAAACGATTTGCTGTAAGCAATGGCAAACGTTGACCCACATTTATGCTGCATGGTACTATGATTGGAATTATTTGGCATAATTACTTAACTTCCAATGAGTTAGAAACAAATAACAGAGTACGGTTAACGGTGAATGGATTGTGCTTCACTCACTCTTGAGGTGAAATGGTTCTGGGAAAATGGTGTGTGCATGCATGAATGCCAATCAGATGCTCATTAGAGGACGTAAAACATAGCAGTCTACAAATGTGTATGTATGTATACAAGATTGCAGCTGTTTCTGTTGCTAATCATAATATAGAACAAATAAGCTACACGGGGAATTTTGAGTGTTGGCTTTGGTACAGTCGATACATTGTTAGATTTATCTTTCAATTAACTTGAATAAGATTCATCTGCTGTATTGGGAAAGTAGCAGACGATTTCGCAGAAAACGTGGATGTTTGACAGAACTTTGCATCCATTTCGATTCTGCAAAACAATGCTTTTAAAGACCAGCAACTTAATTAGCCACAATATCTGAGGTTTGAATAGCTAGTTATGAATAGGAAAACCGACAAAATATTATCGTGTTTTTAAGCTAACTTATCCTCATTTCCGTAAAAGCATGTTTCAGTTATGGAGAAATGCGTATTGGTTATAAGCAGTCTTAAGGCCCAAAGTATAACCAGCTGTGGGCTGCGGAAGTAGTGTTTCAGGAACATTACAGATAAACGGAAAACTACCTGAAAATTTTAAGATCAAATATAAAGCATTTCTAAATTACTTTCGAAAATTAGTTTTGTAAATAGCGCCAACTTGTTTTAGGGTGTCTTGACGTGACTTGACGTGACAATGCTCTTAGATTTCAGTCTGGCCCGACGCACTGGTGGCATCAATAGACAGCACACCAATTTAGTCATAAGTAAAGCTACTGCCTTCACAGTCAGAAAAATGCTAGTTGTACAAATTCATCAGGCCTACAATGGTGTTTCTCGTGTGTAATGAAGAGTTTACATTTATTCATTTTTTTACTTATATTTACAGGAATTATGTGAAATGTTTGTAGGTATCAACGTCGTTTTAGCTACAGTGGAACATTCGCTTAGGAGCATTGTCACGTCAAGTCAAGAATTTATCTTTATGCACCCATGAAGGGTGAATTTTCAGCTGTAACACACACACACGATCGAAGTGGTCAAGCGAACAACACTGTAACCTGACAATGTGCTCCTTGCAGTATGACTCTATTTAGCAGTGAAAGCAGCCTAACAAAGCTTGCTGGTTTGTTTGAAGCCAGTCATGAGGCGATAAGAGATTTTATGACGATAGCAATACGCCACCCATCGACCTTTCTTCATATACTGCCAGGCTGTTTTCCTCAGCTGCTAACATAGCGACACACTTCGCAGAAAACCATTTTGCTAGCTTTTCAGCTGCATGAAGGCCGACTACCGATCGATCGAAGCATGACGCGTTCACAGTGCGGCTATGTGGTGTCCGGCTCACGTCCAGTTCGCACGGCTGGGCCCCGTGCCTTCCATGCCATGCGGTCGAGGCATGAGCGGTTCATTGCGGCTGTGGTGTCTGGTTAACGTTCATTCTCACAGTCGAACGGCTCGGTGTGTTCTGCGATGATAGGCACACATGGGGCGTCTGTGTCCCATCTCAACCCTACCGGCAAAGCAATTTGCGTCATTGGACAGTAAGCAACTCAGCGTACTGGTTGTACGTCAGCACCTGAGTGCAGCCGCTCCTAACTCCGGAGCAGATTAACAAAACACTCGGTATATTGCTCAGAAGAACGCAGTGGATAATATTTAGCTTTACGTGCAACCAGCATTAATATTCCAAATGCGAACACTATTCTGTACAACGCAGGGGGAAGATGAAGGGTGTTGGATTCATATACGTTTGCCCGAAATGATTTCATTACAGTGGAATTAGGTGTCACTTCGATGTTCTGTTTAATGCGAAACACATAGTGGTGACAAATATGTCTGTTGTGCAGTTACAAACACGAAGGTTAAACCGATTATTGTAAAAGCAACTAAAACAATGCAGTTATTTTTATTGGGTATTTCACTGCCGGCTTCCTTTTATAATATAAATATAAAAACGCTACTACGCATTCATTTGATTAACCGTTAGTCAAGTGCAGGTTTAACGCACGAGTTCAAACTAAATCTTAATTCTAAAGATAGGGCAAAATATGTATAAATTAGAATTATATGTATGTAACGGCCACTTTTAGTAGTTTGGCTTGTATATACTATCATTTGTTGGCTAAGTGACTTGAAAATCACCGTACAGAGACGAAATTTTGGTAGATGCATGCTTTTCGTTCTTTTTACTCTGTACCATTGTCAATATCAAGTATGCAGCTTTATACCTAACTCTTGTTGCGAACATATCCATCTTAGTTGTCTAGGGGTTGAGGGATATTCGATCCCTAATTACAGAGTAGCCGTGTTTGAGCGTACACGACCGGGAAACAGAAGCAGAGAGAATTACTATTTATCTCCGTTACCGATTGAGGCTGAAAACCCTCGGGGTCTACAGTGGATAATATCGACGCCTGCTTGGCGACTTGATAATGACTTATATGATCCTGAGGAATCCAAACCATTATTGTCGTCACCTATTAAAGCTGAATAGCAATACAACACTCAGAGGACACCAGCTAAAGCTGGCCACACAATACAGCCGGTTGGAATGCCGCCGGATTTTCTTTTCCATTCTTGTATGCAAACACTGGAACGCTCTTCCCACGTACGTTGTTTCTTCCCCCACGTTAACGGTATTTAAAAGACGGCTGGATGATTCGCTTATCCACCTACATTACGTTATATAATCAGAGATGTCCACGTCAAACAAACGTAAAAAAACG